TCGCGGCGCTCCGAAGATGTTGAATAGAAAAGTTAGGTGTTTTTCGACTTCCTTGGTGTTAGTGGTCTTAGTCGGTAATAACCAAACGTATCTAGTAAACGCGTCGATCACCAGTAATATATATTTGTGCTTTCCCGGTGATGTCTCTAATGGTCCGAAGTGATCGATGTGAAGAGTTTCAAAAGGACGAGTCCCCTTATCGACTATTTGCATTTCTCCTTCCAGATGGTAATTCGAGAGAGAGAATTGGAGGCACTTAACGCAATTTTCTATATGAGACTTAACTTTTTGTTTCATACAGGGAAACCAATAGTGCCCCAAAATCCCTTTGACAGTTTTTTCTACTCCTACGTGGCCCATTTCATCATGATAAATGCGAATGATGTTCTCAGTCATTGCTTCCGGAACCACAAACAGCGTTCGATCATTAATTATTTTAAAAATCATACCATTAATGAGCGTAAAATATTTACTCCCTTTTAACTCAATCGACTCTGCGATTCTTTGTAAATCTTTATCGGCTAGCTGTTTGTACATTAGTTCGTCCTCAATAGTGAGAGCATCTATCGCATAAATGTTTCTACTCAATGCGTCCACATGCTTCATTTTTTCTCCACTTCTATGAATGGTTTCGAAATTGTAATTTTGGAATGTCAAGCTCCAGCGCGCAATTCGAGGATTTATATCGACCTTCTTTAATGCTAAAACTAACGAGTTACAATCTGTTATTACTTTAAAGGGTATTCCCTGTAAATATATATGAAACCTTTCCAAGGCCTTGACAATAGCTAGGGTTTCCAACTCGTAACTATGATATTTCCGCTCAACGTCAGTGGTAGCTTGGCTAAAATACGCGACCGCGGCTAATTTTCCATCGGCTTGTTTTTGGAGTAAGATAGCTCCAAAACCCGCGCTGCTCGCGTCGGTATGTAATTCCGTTTCTGCCGAGGGATTGTAAAGACGCAGTACGGGATGAGCGGTTAGCTCTTTTTTTAATGCCTCGAAGGCTTGCTTACATTCCTCGTCGAAAACAAAGTCTGTGGATCCTCTAGTTAACACGTGTAATGGCTTTACCTTTAACGCGTAGTCACGAATAAATCGCCTAAAGTAATTTGTGAGGCCTAAAAAACTCTGTAACTGGCGAGAGGTTCTTGGCATCGGAAATTCTAATATAGCGCGCGTATGTCTATCACTCATAGTAATTCCGTTTCGCGAGACTATGTATCCTAAATATTCTATTTTCGATTTCAAAAACCGGCACTTTGTTAAGTTTAGTTCAAAGTTATATTTCTTGAGGGTAATTAACACCTCCTTGAGAACTGTTAAATTTTCTTCTACTGAACGTGTCGCGATTAGCATATCGTCCATATAGATTAATATTTTTTCCGCCCTAATTAACGGTTGGAAAACTTGAAAAATTCTCTTTTGAAATTCCGCTGGGCTATCCGCGAATCCAAATGGTAATCTGACATACTCGTATTGTCCGTCCGGCGTCGCGAAAGAAAAATATTTTGTGTCGTCAGGGTGAACAGCGATTTGATGGAATCCGTCTTTCATGTCGAGAACGGTAAATACTTTCTTTCCTTGTAGACCATTTATCTGATCCTCGATAATAGGGAAAGGAAATTTCTGTTTATTTATTCGCTGATTTAGAGGACGAAGGTCTATACACATACGCGTTTCACCGTTTCTTTTGGTAACCGGCACGACCTTCGCACAATACGGCGAGCTACTTGGCACGATTATTCCACGTTTCAATAAATCATCTGTAATTTCCCTTATTTTTAATTTTTCGTTATAAGACATACGGCGCGGGGCATACGCATATACAGATTCATCTCTTATATTGACACGTACATTGTAATTATCTCTCACTGGCTCAATATGCATTTTATCTACCTCGGTAAATGTTTTTATTAATTTCTCCTTCGTTTCTGAGTCTATGTCACTATCTAAATTTTCGAGAATTAAATCGTCTCGGTCTTTAGTTTCGATCACGTCCACGCATAGGATCTCGTTTATTTCGCGCGCCTGGTTTTCTTTGATCTCGCACCTCCTACTTTCCGGCCTATGTGTGACTACCAAGTTTTCATTTATAAAGAATTCTCGACCTAATAACACCGAATGCTTTATTGTTTCATCGGATACTATATGTAATCGAGCCTTTAAGTCGCGATTCAGGTCGTCAATTCTTACGACGCAGTCGACAGTGCCGAGTATTTCCACCGGAGTATTACTGATGCCCATAAAATTTTGATTTTTCGCTAACGGCTCTAATTCTTTGTCGCTCAAGAGGTGATCATAAACCGACTTTTTCGCGAGGCTAATTGGGCTACCTGAGTCTACTAAAGCGTTATATGAATATTTTTTATCATTTATGCTAGATAATTGAATGTACGGCACGCTAGGCAATATTTCGCTTACAATAGTCGCAATACTATCTTGTTCCTCAGGCGTTCTGGCCGCTGCGCTCGATTTCTCCGCTGTTTTTAACGGGCATTGAGGCCGGGTGTGTCCTGGCTGCTGGCAATTATAGCAGGTTACCCGCTTCGATCGGCAGTCCTTGGCGAAGTGTCCTTTCCGTTGACAATTACGGCACACGACATCCTTCGATGAACTCGCTGCCTTCAACGGGCCGGCGGCCGTCGCCTTTGCTGTCTGCGATTTGTGCCCAGCCTCGTGAATGGTAACTGTGGCTTCCGTTACTCTACGCATATGCTCGATAAAGTCCGACAATTTCTCTAAACGGGTGTCCACTGCAGCCACTTGTATCATGGGCAATTTTATACCGGTTACTAAGAGATCGATTTGATCTCTCTCTGATAAATCTAAAAATTGCATCAGGTTTAGTTTTTCATTAACATAATCGATAAACTTCTCCTTAGAATGTAGCCAAACTCTCTCGTTAATCTTGGACATGGCTAAGGTAAAAGAGACCTTCCGTTCAAAATATTCAAGTAGGCCTTTCTTCACCTCCGCCCAGGATGAGATTACTGTTGTCGGTTGCCTGTTATACCAATCTAAGGCATTGCCTGCGAGACGACTAGTAGCTGCTAATAGTAAGGTGTTTTCGTTTATCTCGTATAAGCTCCCGATATAGTTTACTCTTTCCAGCCATTTTTTCACATTGTCTCTCTCCGAACCTTCGAATTTTGGTATCTGAGGAGATATCATTTTAATTATGTTACCTCCGTTTAGTCTGCTGTGTGCTGAACTCGGCGAGTCGGATCGTCCTCGGTCCTCCCTCCCGACGGGCGATCTTCCCTCAGGCGGGCTGACCAAGAGCCTCTCTTGCGATCTCTCCACTAAAGTTGCTAGCTGCTCCATTAGCCGACTTTGCGCCTGCATTTGTTGTTGTAGGCACATCATCATCTGCGCCATTTCTCCGCCGCTGGCTGGCTGCACCCTTGCCTTGCTTCCTCCAGGTTTCGTCCCCGATGGCGCCGGCATCACTACCGACGGACCTGGCATTGCTCCTGATAGAACAGGCGTCGTCTCGCCTTCCGACACCCCTAGGTCTATCAAATCCGGATTACTTGCGTAGTGGTCCAGGACTCGGTCCATCACCCTTTGATACGACCCTTCGGTGCTAAGTCCTAGGGTGGTCGCTTCCTCGCGGAGCTCTTCTTCCTTTAGTCCTTCTAACCGTGTTCGCAGGCTCTTGAAATGAGCTGCTTCTCGGGCTCGAGTCGGCATTGCGCCCAGGTCTTCGATATCCCACTTCTGAATTAAATTTACTGTAAGGAAGGGCTCGGGTAGGAAGACAGTGTGATTAATTTCACCGTCCTTGTAGATGTCCAATGATATATTTCTTTTTCTTTATTTAGCTACAACGCCTTAGCTCCAAAACAGCGTTTAGGACTTTCAGGTCGCGCACTTCGGAGGGCCCGGCTTGACCCGTACCAAAGGCTTCCTCGCTTTCTTGAGAGGGGCCCGACTTGGCTGATCCTCGTCACGAAAAACGACTGACTCCCTTTTTCAAGTCTCGTTACTTAGACACTCGGTTTCTCTCTCCCCCTTCCCTCGCTCGGGAGCTCTCAACCTAATTCGCGGGTTATCACCCCCCTTTTCTTCCCAATCACGTATCTATACGATTTAGATTCCTGTCTTTCTTTATGGGAGCCCTTACAATATATATATATATATATATATATTTCTGCGATCTCCAGTGGTTCTGGTGCGTAGAATTCCTTTAATTTTTCAACTAACTCATTATACGTCTGCGTATACGAATCGACAGGGTCGAGTCGATCACACAGAATTCCAAAAGCTTCTACGCTCACAAAATGTAATAGATAGGCCGCTCGATCTGCATCTTCCACTATTTGAAACACACGGAACGCTCCTTCCAAACGCTACAACCATCTCGCTAACGGCTGCCGTTGCGGGTCGAACACGTCGACCTGGAGCGGATTGGCAATTGCCACTTTTTGTGCCGAAATTGTTCCTGAGCTTGGGCTCGGTACCCTCGAACTCGTGCCCGATCCCCCTGTGGGCATATAAGGTACGCTAACTGTGTTCGCGATAAAGGATCACACAGGAGTGATTCCAGAGCGATCCTGCTCCTTACGCGCGCGCTATCCGCTAGTCCCCGGTGGGGGTACAAATGACACGGCGAAAATCGGAGCATTTTAGCCGATAACAGAGAATCGACTTCTTGCTATTTAAGAGCGCCGGGAGGTGTCATCCGCAGGCGCTAATCTTAATATCTATATATGATCGGCGGCGGACGGGTGCTCGATAGACCGCTCGAAAAAAAAGTACGTGGAGAGAAAATTTTCGCGGATCGAGTAAATAACACTGGAGAGAAGTGCATCTTAAGTTGAAAAACTTTAAAAACCGAAAGCCGAATATAGTTATCAATATTAATTCCCGGCCAATCCAGCCGGGCGGAGGATTCTCAACGCAAGTAAAAGCCTAACCTAAAAGTGAATAAAGTCACCCACGTGGACGCAGCCTTCCCCCGTAACAGCGGGGGAGGCGCAGAGGCATTTACAACAATGAACCGATTTGAAACTGTGTCACAAGAGGAAAACATGGATTGGTCGACGGTGGTAAAAATAAAAGGAAAAGTTCGGATAATGAAGAGATTAAAAACTATAAGAAATCGGGAAAGGAAGCTTCAGAAGTTCATCATAAGGTAACAAATTCAGCGGAACCAATAAAAGTAAAAAAAACCACGTCCCAAATTATCAAAAATTTTCAAGAAGACAATAAAGGCCCATTCACAGTATGGATTCAATCTAAGGCAATTGAGAGCAATGGGAAAACATACTATCCACAAGTAAGCCAATATAAAGTAGGTAAACTGTTTTGCAAAAAATTCAATAGCATAGATTATGTCTGCAACAAAACTAGATCTCGGGTAGAAATTAACTTCAAAAACATACACGAGGCAAATCAATTATTAGACGACCCATTATTAGAAGCAAATAAATTGAAAGCTTTCATCCCGAGCTTTAGATTAATAAGAAGAGGCATCATTAAAGGCGTAGACGAGGATATTTCAGAAGAGGAGATGCTGGAGGAAATGGAGTCACATCAGCGTATACTGGGAATAAGAAGACTAAATAGGAGAAACCGAGATCCTAACAGACAGGAAAACGACCCGAAATGGGTACCAAGTAAATCAGTGATAATTACATTCTCAGGCCAAAACTTGCCCAGTGAAGTACGGCTATATAAAATTAAGATTGAGGTAGATCCTTATATGACATTACCCATTGTCTGCTACAACTGCTTCAAGCTAGGTCATACAAGTTTGAATTGCAGAAATGAGACAAAATGCAGCATGTGTGGTGAAAATAAACACCAAGAGAGTTGCGGAACAAGTTGCCCTAAATGCTCCAACTGCAAGGGGGAACATATCGCCACTGACAGAAATTGTCCAATATACCGGATGGAATACGAAGTCAAAAGACTGATGGCGTACGAAAACTTAGTCATGGGAGATGCTAGGAAACTAGTTTTTCATTCCCCTCCAAAGAAAAGGCTTAAACCTGGACCTGAGGAATTTCCAAATTTCCAAAGCACAGCATATTCAACATACAGTGAAGTAGTTAAAGATAGAAGGTCTTTACCTACAGTACCCAGGAAACCTCAGGAAAAACCAAACAACTTTTATAAAGCCCAAATGGAAAATTGTGAAAATTTTATTGGAAGCCGAGAATCCATCAACTCAGCAAATAGAGTAGCGATGGGTCAAGGTAGCAGCGGTAAGAAGACTATCCAAACGAACAAAGATCAACCAAACAAGACAAATAAGTCAGCAAAAACGGAAGACCACCTACAACTCATACAAAATGTCCGTGGCCAGCGAGTCATCCTCAAGGACTTATCAAATAAACCAGAATACACGATGATGAAGAAAGAAGTGCAAGTTAAGGTTACACCTCCAAATAATTCCCTAAAGACGATAAGAACCTACCAAAAATCAGCAAAAGTAACAGAACTGAATAATAATTCGAAATAAGTATTAATATATAAGTGAGTATGAATAATCGCATTAACTTAAAAATACTACAATGGAATTGTAGAGGATTAAGAGGTAAAATTTATGAATTAGATAGATTTACGCATGAATGGGATATCCTTATGTTTAACGAAACTTTTCTGAATCCAGACCAACCTGATTTTCATATAAATGGTTTTGAAACGGTTAGATTTGATAGACTACACAATAACGGAGGCGGTCTAGCTTTTTTAATTAAAAAAAATATGATTTTCAAAACTGTCGAATTAGACTTTAATCCCAAGACTCTGGAAATAGGATGTATATTGATAACTACTACAACGGGTAATTTATTAATAGTAAACTGTTATAGATCTCCAACAGGAGGTAACAATTTATTTAACAATGAATGGAAGAAATTTTTAGAGACAGTAAAAAAATATGATACATTTTGTATTGGAGGGGATTTGAATGCCCACCACAAGTCATGGGGGAGTGATCACAACTGCTACAATGGTAACATCGTATACAATTTCACAGACCCAGAGGATTTTATAATTCTAAATAATGGTAATCATACGCACATATCAGGACCTAACTTTAAAAAATCAAACATTGACTTAACAATTGTTTCTCCTTCCCTAGCTTTGAGCAGTGAGTGGTCTGTAAGCAATGATAATTGGAGAAGTGATCACTACCCCATCTCAATTAATCTAGATATAGAAAGTGATTACTTACCGAAACCTCAATACAAGTTTAACGAAAATAAAATTAATTGGTCTAAATTCTATGAGTTCTGGGAGTTTAATAATAATCTTAACTCAATTCAATATATAAACTCGACAGTAAATGAAAGATACTCATTCATGCTTAGTCAAATAACAAAAGCGGTTGAATGTTCTTTGCCTAGAAACAAAGTAAATAAAATAACTAATACTAATCGAACTAAGCCAAAAAATAAGAATCCACCAACGGTATGGTGGAATGAAAACTGTGATAGGGCGATTTTTTAGAATAAAAAAGGCGAAGTGGCTATCTTTACAATATAAATTTTCAAGAGAGGAATTTTTTAAATATAAAAAAGTAGAAGCTCAAACTAAAGTTACCCTAAGGAAGGAAAAAAAAGAAGCTTTTCAAAAATTTTGTGAATCTTTAAATAGACATAGTAAGAGTGGGTACGTTTTTAGTAAGATTAAAAGATTTAATAACAAATTTACTAAACCAAAATCATATGAAGGTAATACAGAAATAATTACATCCATGAAAGAAAGCATTGAAGAAATATGTGCACTAGGCTCACAGTGTACTCTGCCTAAAATGGAAAATTTATATCAAGATAACCATTTCCTCGATATGCCTTTTGATTACGAGGAACTTACAGTATCTCTAGAAAATGTTAACCGTAAATCAGCTCCGGGGTATGACAAAATTAATTATAACATAATTAATAAATTACCAGAAGCGGTAAAGAGAGCACTCTTGGATATCTATAATGACGTACTTTATACGGGTATCTTTCCAGAAGAATGGAGAAATTACTTATGTTACTTTATCCCTAAGCCAAATAGTAAAAAAGTCAGACCAATCAGCATGTCTTCTTGTTTATTAAAATTGTTAGAGAAAATGATAAATGAGAGATTAATGTGGTGGCTCGAACATAATAAACTAATTAATAAATCTCAATTTGGGTTCAGGAAAAATAAATCGTGTATAGATAGTTTAGCAATGATCATCTCAGAAACAGGAAAACAATTCTATAAAAAAAACCACTTAGCAGCTGTATTTTTAGATATCAAGGGGGCCTACGATAATGTGGACCCCGCAATTTTAATTAAAGACCTAATCGAATTGAAAATTCCGAGAAATGTTATTAAGTTCATATATAACTTAATCTCAGTTAGATTTATACATTTTATTAATTGTCCAGGTAATATAACCCGCCCTTCATTCAAAGGTCTCCCACAGGGAAGTATTTTGAGCCCGGTCCTGTTTAATATATATATAAATAATATAGATAACTTAATACTCCCGGGCGTTAAAATTTTAAAATTCGCGGATGACTTGGCCTTATACACGTCTGACCCACAAATAAGTAATAGCCTTAGCCACCTTGAGCAGCAAGTCGGTACCATTTCGAATTATCTAGCTGCAAAAAATTTGTACTTGGCACCAGAAAAATGTAAATTAGTCATATTCAATAGATTAAACTTAAACACCAATAACTTTCATATTAATATTAATAACACCATCATTGAACCTTCACCTTACGCAAAATTTCTCGGTATAATTTTAGATAAACGACTAAATTGGAATCTCCATATCTCCCACATTATAAAAAAATGTGATATTCCGATAAGAATCCTCAGTTGCATCAGAGGAACTTGGTGGGGAGCAGATCCGGTTACTATGCTGACCCTATATAATTCACTTATTAGATCTAGAATCGAATACGGCGGATTTCTGATATCACCGTGTAAACCTGAGTTACTCGAGAAAATTGAAAAAGTACAATATAAATGCTTGAGGCTGGCTATGGGTTACAGAAAGTCCACTCCGACAAATATAATACTAAGTGAGTCGAAAATCTTGTCTTTGGCTCGTAGATTTGATACCTCCTGTTACAAGTTCTTAAACAAAAATATGGCCAGTAATAATACAGCCCTGTTAGAAATTATAGAGGAGATAAATGAAATGTCAGAAAACTTTATATATGAAAATAACTTCGAGAAATCATCTCTCATAAGTAAATTTGAAGAAACTCTCTTTTATACGAACATAATATATAAGTCAGAAATCCCCACATATTATCAACTAGATTTTAAAAATCAATTTGAACTAACTAATATAGACATCTCCAGCGGTGAAGAATTAAAAGAATCTAACGATGCAGAAGGACTATTCACAAAAATTTTTCAAGAAAAAATCAGTAATAAGATTGCTATTTTCACGGATGGCTCTAGATCAGTAATAGGCGATAAGTCATATGTGGGTATGGCAAACTGGTGTTCCAATGATCAGTTCACAGCTAGCTTCAAGCTTTTTGATCATGCCTCAATTTTCTCTGCGGAAGCCATGGCCATTTTAAAGGCATTGAAAACAATTAACGAGTCAGAATTAAGTAGCTTTATCATCTTCTCAGATTCCATGAGTGTTCTCAAAGCTTTGTCTAACCGTAGAAAATTAAGAAACCAAAATCATATAATCCAAGAAATCAAGCATTTATTATCCGTTAATAAAAAACGAAATAAAGACATAGAACTGATATGGATTCCGTCTCATAGTAATATTGAAGGTAATGAAAACGCTGACGCTTTAGCTAAGAATGCAGCTCAAGAAGGCCCTTTTTTAAACCAAGAACTTCCTTACTCGGACATAGCTAATGTTTTCAAACTTAAATGTAAAAAGGAAAACGATTGTGATGTAATAAATAGGGCACAAACACAGGGTAAAGGTGCATTCTATTTTGAGCAATATTTTGCGCCAAATAGCAAACCATGGTTTTTTAAAACGAAATTAAGCAGAAGAGCTATCGTATCTGTGAATAGAATCCGTTGTGGTCATAATTCTCTCAAAAGTAGTCTTGCGAGATTTAATATAATAAACAGCGATTTGTGCTCGTGTGGGAGCCCTGAGGATATTAATCATGTCTTCTGGGAATGTAAAAAGTTTGAAGAGGAAAGAAAAACCATGGTTAAAAAATTTAAAAAATTAAGACTAAGACCTCCGATAGACATTAGGGAAGTCTTAAAAAGACTGAAAAGGGAAAAAATTGAAATTATTACAGAGTTTATTTTCAGTTGTAAAATAGACATTTAAGGAAAAAAAAAAAATTTAATTTACTACTCGGTAAAAATTCCTAGGCATTAATGTACAAGTATAATATTAAGATAAACACAAACTATATTAGTTGTTTGCTCATTAGTTTATAAATGCGTTAGATTTAGCTCTCGTTCGATACTAAGACCATACCAATAATTAAGCTATAATACGGAAGCCAAATGATAATGTACCAAAGCGCCATCTACAAAGACTGACTAAGGCTAAGCAATGTAAAATGGCTGTATACTGAAAGGTTGGCCAATAAACTGAATTATCTATCTATCTATCTATATATGAAAAATACAACAGTTTGTAAGTTTCGCATATATATTTTTTACACATTCTTCTGTGTGTCTGTCTGTGGTCTTGAGTTAATTGTTTCTATAGTTTAATAATTATTGTAAATTAATTTTACTTTTATTTTTATTGTATTTTATTTTTAATTTATTTTATTTTATTCTGTGTCTAGTATTACATTTTCCGCTTTTATGTTTATTAATTTACAATAATTTTGCGGATTTTATATTTTGGATTATTAATTCGTTTCTATTATTATTTATTGTATTATTTCAATTGTGAAATTATTATTACAGTGTTCATTTGACAAGGACCTGAACCAAACGTAATGAGGAAGATCTAATAAATTAATATATTTTTTGCTCAGTTTGGTCGTCTACAATTTTTTTCAAAGATTTTCATTCTTGTGATTATTATTCACGTTCTTAACATTCTTATATTCATGATCAATTTTTAATTTTTTTAATTACCGATATATTTTTGTCTGTTTGTAACATTGAAAAAAACTCGCGACAAACTGACATATAATTATATCAACAAAGATACTGTTTAATGATACCCAGTCATATGCCAAACGTGGCTCAGAATAAAACACCAAGTATCGGCTAATCATTGATTACTATTGTTTGAGATTGCAAATAAATCCGAGTTATTTCATGCAATTTCAAGTAAGTAAGCCTATCCATTCTAATCTATTTCAGTTGTTATTATCATGCGTCGCGGTAAAATAAACAATAGAAAAAAATTCACCCAGATCAAAAATATCTACGTACATAAATCATTAGGGCAATTAAAATGTCATAATAAATAACAATCCCGCAACGGGTACCGCACGGAGATATAACTGCCGATGTCGCAAAACACATGCGCAAAGCGGTCACGTGGCTCTGGAAGGCCAATCAATAAAATAATCGATCCGCTCGCGCATGTCAGGCCCGTGCCTACTCCGCGCGAGAACCGGGCAGCCAATAACGTTCGGCGCCCTTGCGTCACATCACCACTTTTGAAATGATCGAAATCAATTGGTGCGTGATGACGTGACGGGCCCTAGCACCGCGTTGATAAAAGGGGCGTCGACGAAACTTTTCATCTTATCGCCTTTCCGCCGTGAAACACATATCACAAACCGCTTATTAGATAAACCGCAAAACCACGTTGACGACCGCCGCTTACTCCGCACTCTGATTTGATTCCGATTTTTCTGTAAATAATTACTATTGTGAAAAGTTTGTTAAAGTGTTGTTTTTTTAATTGTGGATAATATTAAAGTCTTTTTTTCAAATATAAAAGTGACTCATCCTTTGGTGCCGCGCGATCCTTTCTCTCGCATCGCGTTCGTGAACATATATTTTTGGTCCTTCGAGCCGGATCTCTCGTTGAGCCGGCACCCGCAAGTTCGCGAACGTGAGTTCCATCGGTGCGTGAAGTGAGTGTCCGCCAGCATCCAGCAAACTATCGAAGATGGATCTGCCCACGCTGATTGACTGTCAGCGTGAAGTCCAAGTTCGCATCGCACGCTCAGTAGAGTATCTCAGAAAGCTGGGGAACGCCAACATCACCGCCAGCGCCGTCACCACTCGCACCAGGATCATTGACCAGTTGTGGTCGAAATTTGAGACGCAGCATGATCTCATCCGCTCAGGTCTGAAAGATAAATTCAATGAAAGCGATTATGTCAAATCAGGATTGCATGAGGATACCGAAAACCTCTATGTGGCACAACGGAGCTTGCTGGATGGCTACGCCGAGCAATTCCAGGAGTCTCCTCCGTCGCCCGTTCGCCGGAATACCGAGGGCGCTTCAAGGTCCTCGTTGCCGCGTATCAAGGTGCCGCTGTTCTCTGGCAACTACGCAGATTGGCCATCCTTCCGAGACCTTTTCCTCTCCGTCATCGGAGACAACACGTCGATCTCAAACATCGAGCGTCTTCACCATCTTCGTTCGAGCGTGACCGGACAAGCTGAAAAATTAATACGATCATTACCTGTCACCGGCGACAATTACGATCGCGCTTGGGCAATCTTGAGCAAACATTATGAGAACAAGAGAGAACTTATCCGCTCCAACTTTGCCACATTCGTCAACGTGTCAAAGATGAAGGGAGATACCGCCGATGAGTTGAGTCGCATCCATAACGCCGCCACCACCGTCGTCAACGCGCAGGAGAGCATCGGTCGTCCGATCGACACGCACGGGATGGACCTCTTCAATTACCTCGTCACGGAGCTCTTCGACGCAACCACTCGCCTCGAATGGGAGTCATCCACATCAGGATCCGCCGAACCACCATCGCTCGAAACACTTCTCGATTTCATTAGCCGACGGATTCTGACACTCAACGCTGTACGACCGAAAGCGATCAACAAACACTCAGGCGAAGCACGAGCGGCCAAATCTCACGTCACCAAGCACGGACCGGCATCTCCACAATGTGCACTGTGCCGGGAGAAACACACGCTCATGGCCTGCCGTGAGTTCAAGGCCAAGTCCTCTGCGGAACGAAAGACATTCGTGGAGACGAACAAGCTATGTTACAATTGCCTGGGGAACCACTTTCTCTCACGATGTCAATCGAAGAAAAACTGCTTCACTTGCAACGCACGTCACCACACAATGTTGCACGAGGCACACACCGCGTCTCCGGCCTCCGAGGTCAACAGGTCTGCCGCCGCATCAGCTTCCTCACTTGCCACGACACTAGCCACTACCCATCAGAGCGAGGATCGAAAGGCCATCCTCCTAGCAACGGCACGCGTCAACATAGCTGACAGGTATGGATCTCCTCACGCAGTGCGAGCTCTACTCGATCAGGGTTCTGAGCTGTCCATCATCTCCGAAACGGTGGCTCAACGATTACGACTACCTCGAGTTCACACAGGACTGTCCATCTTCGGGGTTGGAGGAGCCCGTCCAGGGCCAACCCGCGGCAAGGTCACGCTGAATATATCTTCAGACGTGACCAACGCCAAGCTCTCCGTGGTGGCATACGTTCTGCCGCGCCTCCTGCTGACGCAAGGTCCCGCATCAAGGACCAACCAACGTTGGCCTCACATTCAAGGCCTCCAGCTGGCCGACCCAACCTTCCAGGACGACGACCCCGCGGAGTTACTCCTGGGAGCGGAGGTCTGCTCGTTTATTATCGAGGCGGGCGTACGCAAGGGCGGTCCAGAGATGCCGATCGCCCAGAAGACCATGCTTGGTTGGATTCTCTCCGGGGGGTCAGATGCAACAGCAACCGAGGATCACCGCCGCACGTTCCGCTGCACCGCTGATTATGACCTCGCTGATCTGGTGCGTCGATTCTGGGAACAGGAACAGGAGCCCACCGCTGTCGCATCCCTCACTCCCGACGAACAAAGATGTGAGGAGCTCTTTGTGCGCAGTCACACCCGCACTGCCGCTGGGAGATATGTGGTGAGGTTGCCATTTTCCTCACCGCCAACAGCACTGGAGGAGACTCGCAGACCAGCGGAACGTCTCCTGACAGCCATGGAGCGACGCTGCGTCCAGGATCCTCGCTTCGGTGACCTCTACCGCAGCTTCATGCGGGAATACGAAGACCTGCGACACATGACGATGCTAAACACTGCGGTAATTGATCGTCAAGACAAGTGTTACTTACCACATCATGGGGTCTTCAAGGAATCCAGCACCACCACCAAGTTGAGGGTCGTCTTCAACGGATCGCAGCGAACGCGAGCAGGGGAAGCGCTGAACACGCATCTCCTCACTGGTGCAAACCTGCTTCCGACACTCGCCGACGTGCTGCTCCGATGGCGTCAACACCGCTACGTCCTCGTCGCCGACATAGAAAAGATGTACCGGCAGATTCTCGTGCATCCAGACGATTGTCGCTTCCAGACGATCCTGTGGCGGCATTCTCCGGACGATGAAGTGCAGGAATACCAGTTGAGAACGGTCACTTACGGTCTCGGTTGCGCTCCATTCCTCGCCATACGGACTCTTCACCAACTAGCTGAGGATGAAGAGGAGCATTTTCCTCGAGGCGCTGTGGCCTTGCGACGGGATTGCTACGTCGATGACGTCGTCACCGGAGCAACCACCCTCGAGGGAGCAATCGTCCTCCAGACGGAACTACGCAACCTCTGTAAGGCGGGTGGATTTCCGTTGAAAAAGTGGGCAGCCAACAATGAGGAGATACTGACAGGCGTCCCGCAGGATCATCGCATGCAACAATCGCAGCACTCATGGAATGGGGAGAGCCACTCAACGCTAGGACTTCGATGGCATCCTCAAGACGATCAGTTCTCCTTCGTGCTGCGTCCACCGTCTATAAAGGAATACACGAAGAGACATGTCCTCTCTGAAACCGCACGTCTCTTCGATCCAATGGGTTGGCTCGCTCCAGTCGTCATCCGCGCGAAGATCCTCATCCAGACTACGTGGCTTCAGGGATTGGATTGGGATGCCCCACTGCCGACAGCCGACGCTCATCGTTGGCAGCAACTGCTGGGTGACCTCCATCTCCTCGACCGCCTGAGAATACCTCGCTGGCTAGGCACTGGACGTGGAGACTCATCGCTGCAACTCCATGGTTTCGCCGATGCATCCGAACGAGGGTACGCCGCAGCCGTATACCTCCGCATCGCTGAAAAAGAGGGAACGTCAGTGAAGCTGCTAATGGCCAAGAGCAAGGTGGCACCTGTCAAGCAAGTGACCTTGCCAAGACTCGAGCTTTGCGCCGCCGCCTTACTCACCACGTTGACACAGCATGTTCAAACCACGCTCGACTTGACAGACACACCAACTCATCTGTGGTCTGACTCGAAGGTCACGCTTCAGTGGATCCAAGGACACGCCTCGCGGTGGAAGACCTTCGTTGCCAATCGGGTGTCCCACATCCAAACCCTGTTGCCAAATGCACTCTGGAGACACGTGGCGGGTCAAGACAACCCTGCGGATTGTGCATCAAGGGGCGTTACTCCGTCGGAACTTACAAATCACGCATTATGGTGGACGGGACCTACCTGGTTGCTGGAGGAAGAGACTGCATGGCCAATCGCCGAGGTGAACACCCAGGAGGACGACCTTTCTGAGAGACGAGCCGTTAGCCTACTGACCAAGAGCCTGGTCGTCATGGAACCTGAGCTCCTTCTTCGCTTCTCGTCGTTGCACCGCTTGTTACGAGTCACAGCATGGTGTCGTCGCTGGCTTCGCACGGCAGAACCAACTAACACACCTGGACGGCCACTGACCTCGGACGAGTTGGAAGTAGCTCTGTCGCACTGGTTACGAGGAGTACAAGCACTTCACTTCCCTGACGAGGTCACCGCCATCTCCGCAGGTCGCACTGTTGCAACACGCAGTCCGTTGGCCAAATTGACTCCATACATTGATGCACAAGGCGTGTTAAGAGTGGGAGGACGTCTGAAGAATTCACTCTTGCCACAGGACGAGAGACACCCAATGATCGTCCCAGCAACCTCATGGCTGACTCGACTGCTGATCGATTCTTGTCATCGCCGGACCTTGCACGGAGGAGTGCAACTGACTCTGGAATTGCTTCGACAGCGGTTCTGGGTGCTTCGAGGACGTTCAGCGGTGAAGCAGCGATTACATCGCTGTGTCACCTGCACAAGGTGGCGAGCGACAACACCACAACCACCTATGGGCAATCTGCCCCACAGCCGGGTCACTCCAACACGGCCATTCCTCCGCACTGGACTGGACTACGCGGGGCCAATCCTCATCCGGACCAGCAAGGGCCGCGGTCACCGGGCCTACAAGGGCTATATTGCGGTCTTCATCTGCTTCTGGTCGAAGGCCATCCATCTAGAGCTCGTCTCAGATTACTCGTCGGAAGCCTTCATCGCCGCTCTTCGCCGATTTGTCTCCCGACGGGGTCTCTGCACCGACATCTTCAGCGACTGCGGCACGACCTTCGTTGGAGCTGACCGCACCCTACGAGAGCTCTTCATTGCGGCATCTCCGGAGGGTCGAGGCGTCGCACGCGCAGCTGCCAAGGAGGGTATCCGCTGGCACTTCAATCCGCCGGCGGCCCCGCACTTCGGTGGATTATGGGAGGCCGCTGTAAAATCTGCCAAGTATCACCTGCGGAGGGTGATAGGCGAAACCACCCTCACCTTCGAGGAATTAAATACACTCCTCACTCAAATTGAAGCATGTCTCAATTCTCGACCGTTGCAGGCACTCTCCGACGATCCAGACGATGTTTCAGCGCTCACTCCCGGACACTTCCTGATCGGGGCACCTCTTCTCGCCATCCTTGAGCCGCTGCAGGAAGACGAACCTGGTTCCTCGAGATCACGATGGCAACATCTACAACAAATGAGAGATCACTTCTGGGGGAGGTGGTCGAAGGAGTACATCCACGGACTCACCTCTCGTTCAAAGTGGCTGAAGAATGAGACGGCACCCCACATCGGAGCTCTCTGCCTGGTGCGCTCCGAGATCTCTCCTCCAAGTCGATGGCCGCTTGCCCGGATCACGAAGCTGCATCACGGAGACGACGGCGTGGTGCGCGTGGTCACCATCAAGACCGCGTCTTCCGAGCTCATGCGTCCGCTCGTCAAGATCGTCCTGCTTCCCGGTGTTGAAGCAGACACGACGATTACCGATGCGTGAAAGATACGCGACGCACACCACACACGATACACACAATTATACACACTTCCGGTCACATCTTTCACACTTTACACAATACACAATTCACACACGATTCAAACACTACACGCCATTTGTACACCTAACGGAGCATTAATTATGCCATCATAATGCATCATTGTCTTACGCGACCACTCTCACTCGCGGTATTCACCAAACACGTGGCGGATATTTCACAGCTGATCGAGTCTAGCGCGACACGCGATCACCACGTGCGTCGTGACGCGCAGCCGCACCGCCACAATCACCGACCAATAAAGCGCGGCCCGCGGCCAGCAATCATCAACGAATTGTTTCGTCACAACGTAACAAGGCGGGCGGGATGTTTGAGATTGCAAATAAATCCGAGTTATTTCATGCAATTTCAAGTAAGTAAGCCTATCCATTCTAATCTATTTCAGTTGTTATTATCATGCGTCGCGGTAAAATAAACAATAGAAAAAAAATTCACCCAGATCAAAAATATCTACGTACATAAATCATTAGGGCAATTAAAATGTCATAATAAATAACAATCCCGCAACGGGTACCGCACGGAGATATAACTGCCGATGTCGCAAAACACATGCGCAAAGCGGTCACGTGGCTCTGGAAGGCCAATCAATAAAATAATCGATCCGCTCGCGCATGTCAGGCCCGTGCCTACTCCGCGCGAGAACCGGGCAGCCAATAACGTTCGGCGCCCTTGCGTCACATCACCACTTTTGAAATGATCGAAATCAATTGGTGCGTGATGACGTGACGGGCCCTAGCACCGCGTTGATAAAAGGGGCGTCGACGAAACTTTTCATCTTATCGCCTTTCCGCCGTGAAACACATATCACAAACCGCTTATTAGATAAACCGCAAAACCATGTTGACGACCGCCGCTTACTCCGCACTCTGATTTGATTCCGATTTTTCTGTAAATAATTACTATTGTGAAAAGTTTGTTAAAGTGTTGTTTTTTTAATTGTGGATAATATTAAAGTCTTTTTTTCAAATATAAAAGTGACTCATCCTTTGGTGCCGCGCGATCCTTTCTCTCGCATCGCGTTCGTGAATAACTATATATTGGACCAAGCATTGGCACTATTGTAAAGACTGGCATTCCTACATGGATACTTAGACTCAACATAAAATAATATACATTCGAGAGAACTTGAACAGACCATTTCATATCTACTTTTCGTGATTTTTTTGCTTTTGACTATAATATTTTCGGAGCTTTAGACGATTATATGTTTTTTCTATTTGTTCATTTTGAGGATCAACTAATGCAAATGCGTTCTCACCTACACATCGAATTATTTTATAGGGGCCTTGAAATAAAAACTTTTCAACAGCATCCAAAGCATTTGAGAGATGTTTTATTCTTACAAGGACTCACTAAGTCTCCGTAATAATTCGACCTTTGATTTACCTCTTTGTTCTTATTTCTTTCGATATTTAAATTCTTTCTTAAATTTTCTTTAGACAATGTGATTAGATATTTATGCAAAGGTTTCTTACTATTAGAAAATTGAACGATCTTTTGGATTTCATCATGAACAGACTTGCCATATTGAAATTCATAAGGGACTATTTCCGTACTTTGGTAAATTGTTACGTTCAATATTTTTCTTCAATTTTTGGTACAACATTAACCCATTTTATGTGCTTTTCCGCACACAAAGTTCTAAATAATCGACTCAACTCTCGCATCACTCGTACAGTAGGATTTGACTGAGGATCTCTAATGTGTGGAACTATATAAAACGTTTATACTCTTACCTTCAAGTCTCGTTTTTCATAATGCGGAAGTGAATTGGCTACTATAATCAGAAAAAAATACGCTTATCCAAATTTTGGAATGAATACACCAATGAATTTTTTTAAACACATACGAATCGTAGCCTTTCTAGTAGGTATACTAGGTCGGTTCTAACCCAGAGGTAATAAGGGGGGGGGGGGTAAAGGGCGGGGAGAAATCGGGGGGCAAGGGGGGTGACGTCACGCGGGGGAGGGGGTCTTATTAGCAGATAAGCTTATCTTATCATCTCAGGTTACCAGATAAGGGGCTCATGTTACCTGATATGTTTATAAACAAAAGATAAACATATATCTATTACAGCAATATCTATTACAAGATAAGGTAAACGGCATCTTTGTAAGATATCTATTACAAGATAAGATAAAAATTCTGGTTAATCAAATTCTAAGAATTATTAAGAACAAAAGGCCTGCCGCCGTTTCTTTGGCGAGCGGCAACAATCCTATTACTAAGGGGGTTGCGTTTCTTTATCTATTACAGCGATATTTATTACAAGATAAGATAAGCGGCATCTTTGTAAGATATCTATTACAAGATAAGGTAAAAATTCTGGTTAATCAAATTCTAAGAATTATTAAGAACAAAAGGCTTGCCGCCATTTCTGTGGCGAGCGCCGACAATCAGATATCTATTACTAAGGGGGTTGCGTTTCTTCCCCCCTCCCATACGTGGGTGCTGATCTATACGTTATCTGTATATTTCTAAGAAATATCTGGAAAAGTTTGCGTCATCGGAGGCAAACGTGTCGCCGCTTGCGATGGGGTGAAATGTACACCAGGGAGGTAACGATGATCCGGTGGCGGCTGTATCTATATATTTCTAAGAAATATCAGCGGGTAGATATCGCAAATATTTCTTGCGAATTAACAATCGCGCGTTGAAGAACAAAGGGTTGATCGGGATATATAATTAGGACCGATGCTGCTGCCGGGTCATAGTACGCTGACCACGCAAGCGCACGCTCTCCTCATTTGGGGTGCAAGATGTTTGTCATGCTATCAAGTGCTTCCGACATTTTCAGTTTAAGTGCTGAACAGCTGCAATATATTCCGAAGATTGTTTTACTGCAAAAGTGCGGTTATTTCGTAGAAGATTTGTGGGACAAGCTTCCGGAGCACATCAAGGCAGATCCGGAGGTTCAGATATATCGTCGCTGTCTCGAGCATTACAATCGATTGTGGATGCGAACGCACATTGACGGTCCAGCACCGATGATTAGGGATTGCAGCGAATGTCAGCGAAAATAGGCTGAGGTTAGTGACCACAAGTGTAATAAGTGTGAAAAGTGACAGACAATAAATATGCAACCAACGAGTCGTCGCGAGGGGGTGCCGTTGCATGAGATGCTATTCGATTCTTTCTCTCGCAAATGCATGGGAGAGCGTGCGCCTCGCGATACAATTATCGATTTTCTCTCGCTGCCGCCGGATCCAAGCATGGATGCGGCCCGTCGGCTCTCTCGAACGCGTGATGTAAACATTCGGCACTTGGTTTGTTTTGAAATAGATAGCGTCTGGTGATATAATCCTTTGTAAAGATTTTTTAAGTGGGGTACAGCCTGTGGAGAGCGGGTCTGTCTCTGCAAAGGTCATCATAAAGGTTCAAACGTTCATCGAAGAAGCAGCAACAGCAGAAGCATCAGCAAGACCAAAATAAAAAAATGACGGGAGGATATTTGCACGGTATCGACCCCGAAATAGTAAGTATAGTAATTTAAATACATGTAATTGTTGGCGGTGGCCTTTAAATCGTCGTCGACAGATGCTCGGTTCTCAGATTTTACACAGATGGATATCGCTCAGGTTATTTATTTTAATCAGGATGTGGATTAAAGATTAGAGACATATATATATATGTATTATGTTCCAGTTAAAAATGTATTTTATTGCGATCCTCTATATATATATATATGTGACGTGACATTTTTTACTGTCCGTCACAAGGGCCGAAGGCCCGGCCGGGAAGGCGGGAAATTCGGGAACCTTTGCTCTCTAGCCAATCTTTGAGAGAGAGAGAGAGCACCCGAAAAGTAGTTTTGCGTTTTTCCGCGTAGGAGGATGCGCCCCGCGCATCCGTTCCGCGAATTATTTTATTTATAATTTTTGTTTAAGCAATTTTTGCGTTTTTGGCGAGCAATTTTGCATAGGGTATGTGTCTCAACCGGAGAAACAGAAAGAGAAAGAGTGAGAGGGCGGAGAGGACAATTTAGGACCGAGCAGAGGCCACCAAGTCCGGATCACGCCCGGTAAATATTATTCTCACATAGATTTTCTGGATTGCTCCTCCCGTTAAGAACCTGGATACCGCCGTAAAATGTTCCTTCTTTCGCAGAGATTCCGACCAGAGACGGGGATGGCCACTCTCTCGCGAGAAGCGAGAGAGCCCCGGAAACTAGAGGCACGGGAGACGCACTGCCTCGAGCCTCAGCCTATTTGGATGTACGAAAGTTCACCATCGATCAAACAATCGATTTGGCGGATTTTTAGAGAAACAGCAAAGAGGCGCGCTCGTAGGAGTCTTCCCGACGACCAATATAGAGGAACAGCGGAACTCAATGCAGAAGAAAAGAGGAACGGCGAGAAAAATTTGCATCAAGCAAATTCGCAGGGCCCCGCGGGGAACCTGGCGGCCCTGCCAGGATAAGGAGCGCCATGGGTGGAAAATGCCCAATTTATTATCGGCGTGATCCCGGCAGGCCTCTTGCTCGTCACTGTCTGACGGAGCGTTGTCGAGAGCAGAGGTTCCTGCGCCTGGATGCCGAAGCATTAAAGGACCCATCGCTACCGGTGAGACGAACGGCCCTATACTATTGTAAAGCCGCTAAATTCTTTTTGTGAGTACCGTATTTGGGAGAGAAGCGTGTCACGGCCGCGGCCGGTTATTAGATTCACCGGTGTAATTTCGTGATATTTCGGGAGGTTTGATTTAGAGTTTTGTTCCGCGTAGAATTTATCCCGGCGCCCGGTCGACCGCGTGCTCTCTCCCGCGCGCATATTAAGAGAGGCTCTCTCTCCCGCGGATACGCCGACAATCGCCGCGATTTTGGTCACATTAATGTACAATCAAAGTATCGTCTCGTATTTACTGTGTTGTTCTCGTCTATTAGGATTTCTATATCGGAGAGTGGAAAATTGTCGAGAGTCACGCATAAGAAATAGCGTAATCTTTCTTGCGCCTATCATCATTCGCGCATTTTTCTGATTCGTTGTAATATTGTGCGAGGGACGACCGGCATGATCGATCTCAAAGGAAGGCGCGCGGGACCTACTCGAGTTTTCGGAAATTTTGTACTGCCTAGAATCATCGGAATGAATTACGTCGCACGGACCTTATTAAGTCTCGTGCGTTACTAATTATTCGACACGTAGACGTGCGAATCTACTTCCGGGTCCCGCGTGTCGTCCGATATCACCGCGTCGGGTTGTCTCAAAGGCGCGGAACGATAACAACGCGCCGCGTCTCGGCCGTAAATACGCCGTATTGTATTGTCCGAATCAAATTTCGGCCTTGCTTATTTGTATTTTGGCGTCACTAAAACGGAGTTCACTCCGTAGCATATTGAAAGAATATTGATTTTTTTTCTTGACCTAACATTTTTCTCAAGCTTTTATACCATTATTTTTCTGTCTATCTTCGTTTATCATTGTTCAAATATATTTAATGCTTGTTACATTTAAGCGATTTCAAATAGCCTCTTTCGAATTCCGTCCTCTCTCCCGTCCGAACTCCCCCCTCTACCCCCTGACGATCTGAGCGAGTCGATTATCGCCGTCGCGGAAATTTTCGGGATGATTTACCGATTATAAAGGTCATCTGTCGATTTGTAAATTTTCAGAGTGGCGCGAATCTCGCGCCTGGCGCCCAATTAAACATATTTTTCGTGTTTACGCGAATTTCCCACTTTCCGCGCCGAAGGTGTGCCGTCGGCCACTTACATCGGCTCTATTTCCCGGATTCTTTTCGATCCGACGGACTTATATCAAATTAACGGTTACAATATATATCGTAGAGTCGTTACAGACGCCGGAGATTTTGCTGTAGTTAACGCCGCCAGAATGATGACTATAATTATGATCCCTTTTTCTCTCGAAGATCCCCATATTTATACGCGTTGTCCAAAAAGTATTCCCACCTCAAAGTATAGGACCAATTGGAGCAGTTTTCATTTAAACAGCTTAAATCGTTTAGTCTTCACGAAAAACAATAACTTTGGCGAACGAGAGAGATTCGGTTTACGATCGCACAAATAAATAAAAATGTAACAACACATGATTAAATTAAACCGATCGAAAGACAAGTAGACGAAAATATAAATAAAACAAATCAACGTCTCTCTCGTTTATTTCCCTTATATACGGCTAAATGTACTTCGCGATAAAATAAAATATATAAAATGCCTACATAATATTTTTTTATATATCTTTATATTTTTATATATTTAATATTAATTTATTTTAGATGATCCAAACCCTCATCCTGAATAGGGAACTGGTGGTGCCGAGAGTATCGGTTATTGAGGAGGAGGAGGAGGAGGAGAGGCAGGGACGTAGGAAGTGGTGGGAGCCCACTGAGGAACAGTGGATCAGGTCGCAGAGGGCGTGGAGGCGGGAGCAATTGAACTACCTGTGGGGCGACATCCAGTGGCTCCGCGATCTAGAGGACCACTGCCCGGAAATCATGGAGAACGCGTTCGACCTGGTGGAACTGTTCGATCCACCAGAGCCGTTCGATTGGGGCCCGATTCTCCGGGAACTCGAAGGCGAGGACTGGAACGGTAAAAATAAAATTTTTTAAATATAATACTGTATTATATTTATAAATTAATAATTGTTCTGCTTACAGACCCGTCCGACGTTCCAGTAAGGCCTCAGCCTCAGTCTCAGCCGACGCCATCGCCGTTACCTCGAGCCGCCGGCTTTCTCTCGCTGCCGCCGTCACCGCCGCAACCCTCGTCCCCGCAATCACCCATTTTATAATTAAGGTTTATTTTTTATTTTTCATTTTTTTATATCTTTATTTTTTTATATTTTGTATATTTTTTATATACTTTTATAATTTTTATATTTTTTATATTTTTATATTTTACATATATTATTTTTTATTTTTTATATTTACACACACACACATACACACAGTAGAGAGGGTTGGGAGTCTATAAATACCGCGGGAGTGACGAACTGTGGTCCTTATCTCTACTATGACACACACACATACACACAACCTCCACGTGGTACACCTTGGATAATGCTAATGCCGGCGGTATAGTAAACATTTAAAAAAATGAATAAAACATATATATATATATATCAATATAAAAATTTATTATAAATAAACCTTTTCCCATCCCTTGCAACATCCCGCTTCCAAAAAAAATAATTAATAAAAAAAATTATCTCTCCTTTGCATCTCTCTCCTTCGCGTCTCTCTCCTTCGCGCCTCTCTCGCCTCTCTCTCCTTCGCGTGTCTCTCCTTCGCGTCTCTCTTCTTCGCGTCTCTTTCCTTTGCGCCTTTTTCGCCGCTGAATCCAGGCGTGGATCCCGAGCCGCCTAATCTCTCTCTCGCCGCGCCGCTGAATCCAGGCGTCGATCCCGAGCCGCCTAATCTCTCTCTCTCGCCGCTGAATCCAGGAGTGGATCCCGAGCCGCCGAATCTCTCTTGCCGCTACTTGGCGCAGCGTCTTCTCACGATGCGTCGTATTTCGCCGTCTCTCTCTTTCACGCTGCGTCTTTCACTCTCGCGCGCTGCGTCTTAGTTCGCCGTCTCTCTCACTCTCGAATGCGTGCGTCTTCTCTCTCGCGCTGCGGCCCGTCTTCTTTCTCTCTGTCTCTTAATGAGACCGTCGCGTGCGCCTTGCGATACAATTATCGATTTTCTCTCGCTGCCGCCGGATCCAAGCATGGCCCGTCTTATCTCTAACCTCGTAAGATAAAAATATCGATTTTTTTCTCGCTGCCGCTGCTACGACAATGTCCTTGACACGATAATTATTTCTCGCAAAGTATGTAACGGGTGGCGCGCAAATAAAGTACACCATGTGTTCGAAAAAGAGACGATCACAATATAGATAAATTCTCGCTTGATTTATAACTCTTGTTTCAAAGAACCAGTCCTCGGGCAAATAACATTTGCTTCGGATTCTAAAGAATTATTTTCCTTTAGTTTTTCTGACATTACCGTTGCTGCCGAAATCTGACAAGCATCTCGGTGGTCGATCGTGATTGGTTGAAGAAATCGTACGACCGACACCGAGTATGTTATTGTACTCGACTCGGTAGGAAATATTATCGAGGATTGAGCAGAATCGAGACTGTGAGACAAACCTTGATAACGTACGCATCGTCCGTATTTTACGCGCGATCAGTACGGAAGCTCGTAGTTCGTACAATTTATCCGGGTCGGCTTTTGATCGGTCTAGAGAGCCTCGTCTTGTTAAATCAATGGTGTTATTCTAGTGTTAAATATATACGTTTGTTAATTAAACTCCATTGACTTATTATTATTATCCCACCCGGGACAAGTGACGAACCGGTAATAAAAAAAGATATATATTAGTTGTTTTTAAATTAGTGTCTCACGCGTAAATCGAAGGCGGGTGAAAATGAAATGGTCCTTCGAGCCGGATTTGGAACTTGTCACGCTAAAAACAGTACTTCGAGAGAACGATAGACGGAGTGTGATTGAGACCGCTGCCGCGAGTGATGCAAGAAAGAACCGAAAACCGATCAGGTGATCGAAGCTGACACGGTACATAAGTTGACTGTAAACAAGAAGACGCATTCCGCTGTTGCCGTGAAGAGTTCGGTGCTGTATTTTAAGGAAACGTCTTCTCGCGTGGAAAAGTAAAAAGCGAGTGATCGAACAAGACTTCTGTGCAGATTGAAACTATCACAGTCAAAGTGCCCCTGGCGCATTAATAACGTTAATGTATTGTGCTCCTCAGCACACCATACACGCGTGTGCTCCACGTGATCCGCAAGACAGCATCGTAAAAAACTGTTGTCGCGCTCTTAGTGCTTCACACAACGAAGTGAAATAATCGTGCCCCGTGGATTACGAACTTCTTCTTGTTGACCTGCGTAATCCGCAGTGCCACTTTCAAGTATTGTTACCGCGTTCTTTAACGCTTCGCAAATTTAAAGGTGACTATCGCGTTCTTTAGCGCGTAACCTGAATAATTGCGCTCTGCGTAATCCGCCGAGTCGCGCTCAAGCACTATTTACGAGCTCTTTAGCGTTTTGCACAGCCTAAGTGCGATTGTCGAGCTCCTTAGCCGACTGAAATACGACGGTCAGTCGTCACTTTAACACTCTACCAAATCGCTGTGCGTTTGGTGAAGCTTTAGTGCCCAGCTGAGGCCCTACTTCTCGCTGTTATGTCTAGTGACCTGCAGGAACTGCTCGTCGAGCAATCTGCCACGATCGCTTCGATCAAGCGAGTACTTTCCAATTTTAAAAACTTGGCAAGGCGAACGTCACCTTATACAAGGCGAAGAATCGACTGGAAGGCCTGGAGACCTTATGGGAGAAGTGTCAACAGCTGAACGTCCGGCTTCTCCTCGCAGCATCACCCGAGGAACAACGAACGAACGGATACTTCACCGCAGAGGTCTTCTTCGAGGTTGAGGACGTCTATCACGAAGCCGCGGACTATCTCGCTGATGTAATCGGTAAATTCACTCGATGCGAGTCGAACGCGGCTCACTCGGTAAGCGACACCTCTATACGGGAACCCTCTATTGCGTTGCAATTACCTCGTATATCTCTGCCGAAATTTTCCGGTAGTCTAACGGAGTGGGGAAATTTTCGCGGAATCTTCGAGTCACTTGTTGCCTCTAAAGAAACGCTATCGAACACTCAAAAATTACATTACCTAAAGACGAGTGTTACGGGCGACGCCGCGTTATTGATAAATCATATCCAGATAACAGACACGAGTTACGACGCTGCGTGGAAATTACTTGTAGATGAGTACGATAACCAATACGCTATCATCTTTGCGCACATTCAAGCCTTTGCAGAGCTGCCGATTATGAAAACGGAAACAGCTGCCGATCTTAAGAGGTTGCGAGATGTTGTTGCCTCGTCATTGGCTGCGTTAGATAATTTCGGCAGACCGGTAGATCAATGGGACGATTTGTTAGTTTTTATAATCTCTCAAAAATTTAGTCCACGCACGCGTAACGAATAGAATCTGTTACGCGGAAAAACAAGCACTTATCCGACTTACGAAAATATTCGTGATTTCATGACGTTGCAAATACGAGGGTTGACGGATCATTATAAAAATATCGATTCTTCGAAAAATAAAATTAAAGGTTCTAACCGCTGCAGTTATAATCGCGCCTCTGTACACAGCGTGACCGCCGATAAATGTTTGAATTGCCCCGGCCATCATCGGTTAATGCAATGTGATGATTTCAAACGTAAATCAGTTGAACAGAGAATTCAGCTTCTCCGATCAAATAAATGTTTTTTCAATTGTCTAAAGGTTGGCCACTTCCCTAACGATTGTTCGAGTCAAAAACGATGTAATGTGTGCCGACGAGCGCATCATACGCTCCTACACCGGGACGTTAATGCTCAAAAGACGAATGTAAATTCTGTCGCGAATAATGCGACGCTCAACGCTCAACCGTCTGCTACTGCCTCTGAGGCCAAAGACGAGTCCGCTGTCGTCTTTGTTCAAACGATTAGCGCTTCGATAAAAAATCCACCGAATGTACTGTTAGCTACTGCGTGGGTGATTCTTCGCACGGTCGAAGGTCGTAAATTTAAAATACGTGCGTTATTGGATCAGGGTTCTGCCGTTAGTTTTATTTCGGAGTCATTATGCCAAACGCTGCGCACGAAACGTTACCGCGCGAGATTACTGGTACATTGCTTTGGTGAACAATACAGTGGCGTAGCGAAAGCGCAAGTACCGCTCAAGCTCGAGCCGTGTCAAACGCAAGGACCTTCTTTACCTCTAAATGCTTTCGTATATCAAAAAATAACGTCGTACGCGGGTTCTCGAATAAAACCTCTCGATTCTTGGCCTCACTTAAGTGGATTAAATCTCGCGGATCCCGATCCGTTTAGCAATCACCCGATTCATCTGCTCCTCGGAGCAGACATATACGGCGCTTTGTTACTGCATGACGTAAAGCAAGGCTCAATCGGAACTCCAACGGCTCAGCTCACTAAACTAGGCTGGGTCTTATCCGGTCCCACCGGAACTTCTACTCAAAGAACAGAATCGGTTCAAACGCTAAATTGCGTCCTGGACCCTCCGATAGATTCTCTGCTCCGTAAGTTTTGGGAGATCGAGGAGATTTCTTCCGACTCTCCGCTGTCGGAAGAAGATCAAAAATGTGAGTTGCATTTTAAGGAAAGTCATACGCGTGCCAACGACGGCCGTTATATCGTTCGGTTACCGTTCAAAACCGATCCTCCGCTTGAGATCGGTTCTTCATACGAAATTACCGCGCTTCTATATTCTAAATTAGAAAAACGTCTAGATCGAAATTACGATCTTCCCAAACAATATAACGAATTCTTGTCGGAATATGAAACAATGAGTCATATGGAGGCCGTTACGGATGACAATAAGCCACGCTTTTCTCCGGTTTATATCCCGCATCATCCGGTGCTCCGCGAGTCTAGCAGTACAACGAAACTTCGCGTCGTATTTAACGCGTCGTGTAAAACTAGTAACGGCTCTACGTTAAATGCTTATCTGATGACCGGACCTAAGTTACAACGCGAGTTAGCATCTATTATCCTGCGATGGCGACAATTCCGCTACGTGTATACAGCGGATATTGAAAAAATGTTCCGACAGATTCGCGTTCATCCGGATGATACGGATTTCGTACGGATTCTCTGGCGATCCGCAAATGATAAATCTATTAAAGCCTATCGATTATTAACGGTTACGTACGGCACTGCTCCTGCTCCTTATTTAGCCATGCGAGTTCTTAATCAATTGGCTCTCGATGAAGGACA